TCTCCATGTGTTTTTCACCATTTACGTGTTTAGTCCCTGTTTTATCCATTTATTCCAGTTCATATAGTGTAAGCGGAATTCGGTGTCGCACTGTTAGCAAATTAGAAACGGTTTTGGCATGTATGGCTGCAGCATTCCTTCCTGTACGTTCCCAGGTTGATACATTAGCAAGGGAACTAGTGAGCAGCCTTCACGCTGACCACTGTCCTGGCTCATCACAGTCGGCCAAAAGAAGCCGTAATAAGCGCGCAGTGACGAAGAGAGGCGCCAAGAAAGTAAAGCCTAGCGAAAACATGACCTTGGTGAGTTCCATCTCTGTTATTCCAAACATGCGTGAACGTGGAAATACTCCTGGTATGCTAACGCGTCAGTATCCGTCAACGTGTTTGACACGAATTCCCCGTTTCTGCGCCGATGCGAATTAAGCCGCCGGTGGACGATTTCACGCTCAACTATATGCTGCGGTGTCACTCGAGGAGGGACAACCCATCGGATCACAAATCTCAGGTGTGGAGGTGTGCATTTGAACCGGATCCAGCTAATCCTGGTGAGTACGTACGTGTGACGATAGTGTGAGAAATAAATCACGGTAACTCGATCCTACAATACCTCCAGTACCAATGTGACCCAGCCTGCTCTGATAGTCGACGTGCGACCTGTTGGCAGAAAGAAAATTAAGTCTTAACATTAATCTTGTTGGAAACTCCAGCTAGCCTTTCATCATTGTGCTTGGAGTTTTGTAATAGCGGTTACGCATGTGCTTATATCATATCTAAGTTGTAAAACTGCTGCATGGCTAACACGCGTATAATTAATGGCCGCATATAAATATATATTTACCTTGTACGAGCTGCAAAGAGTTGGACTTGCCTGCTCTTGCATCACATTGATTGTCTGTTGCTATGGTAATCATACAGGCAAATCGTTGACGACCGTCGCTACATGCGGTTCGCATTTCGTTTGCCTCATTGATTGCAAGGCTGGCATTGTCCGCAAACGCTACCAGGATGACAAGGAAGACTTTTTTTGTCTTGCTTGGACGACCGTCGCTGTGGTGATAGAGCGAGCTCGGACACAGAACATCAATATACTCATAGTTGGTGGTAGGGTTCAGTTACATTTATTCTCTTACCTTCGTTCATATACATTCATTTTTCAGTGTTTTCATTGATATTCAGATATTTTTAATAGATTAGTTTACCTATAGGACTATATTTAGGACAAGAGATGGTTTTAAGTTCCATTCAGGAGATTTGCATGCAAGTGTCTTATGTCTTTACCTTACATCCACCACAGGGAAGAGAGGCATAGTTTACCTCATTGATGTTGAAGAGCTGGTCTGCTATGGGAAGTGGAGCGGTCACAAGAAAGCACTCGGCTCGATTCTGATTCATCCAGAATATCCGACCTTCGTCTTTAGTAAGTAACGAGTCACGGGATGTGTTATATAGACCGGCATCATGGCTGGTTGCGGTTGTAGGTTGGGACAGATGGTTTTGTCTCAATTATTGCATGTCAAGTCAAGGGTGTGTCAAAACACTTATGGTTTATACTTGTACATCTCAGCTTTGGTTGCCTACCATTCAGAGTGCATGTGCTTGTGTGTATCACTGCATCGTTGCGATACAGTCTTGTGTGTACAGTCGGATACTGGTATTATCAATAGTGAATAAGAATGAGTTTGTTTTTGTCTCTATCTACAGCTGGCTCAGCCGATCATCTCATCGTGTTGTGGGATATTGGCGTTCCTACCCTCCCAGAGTATACTTTCGAACACAGGTATGGCTTCGTTTATTTATTTATTTATGTGATTAGTAGTGCATGCACATACAATGCATATATACAATGCATATATATACAATGCATATATATAATAGCAATGCAAACGATGTGCACATAAATGAATTATGAAGTTGGATAACTATCGAAGAAAAACGCACAAAAAGTATGGCAATCACACTTATTTATGTTGTCGTTCTTTGCAGTCATTATTAATTGTTAGCCGTCAGTTAATATAAAACATCAGGTTATCTTAACAGCTGAAGTGATGTTGGTGCTGTAGGTACACACAAAAGAAATTAATTGTCCAGTAATTGAAATGTGGAGCTCAATGAAGGCGATCGAGACTCGGAGCACACCCTTCACGTACAGATCAATTGAAATTAATTTTTCGTACTGAAAATGTTGAAATTCACGCAGTTGCGAGTTGCAAACTAGTGCTCGATATTTCGTTGCGAAAAACGAGCGTTTCTGCTATCGGCTTTGCGTTTGCTTGCGTAGAAAACTGCTCGTGCTGAGAGCGCCTCACGAAGTGCTCCAACTCGCCTTCTGCACTGCCACTAGTCACCTGATTGCTGCCTGCGAGGACTACTGCAGCGTTTGGCACATGGCGGATCTGGAATCCGACCTGGAAGACGGCCAGCATACGAACGCCCACAGGTAGTGCGCTCAGCAGGGAAAAACTTTTTTTTCACGGGAGCTCTTTTTTAAGTTTGTGGAAAAAATAGCTCTTGTCAAAAATTTTACGGGAGCTATTTTGAGTCTCACGGTAGCGATTTCGGAGGTTTGAAGAGCGAATCGCTCATCGCTCCCGTGTATTTTTTACCCTGGCGCTCAGTATCGCGTGACGATTTCATAGAGCATGCAGGCAGCTGTGAGTGTCAAGAGAATGTAGCTAGGCACAACAAGAGCGAGTCGTATGGGCTGTTGATCAAGCACTGCGACGTGTTTCTGTTAAACAGCACTTGACATTGCAGCCAAGTTGGATTCCGAGTTCATGCAAAATGAAGCGCGAGTTGTGAAAATGGGGGTCCGCACTCTTATGTCCAGACCAGAGTTGTGGTACAATTAATGGTCTTCCTGCTGTGGTTACTTAGATTGTACCTTTGGCAGGTTGCCAGATTTTGACGTGGAGTTGCCTGGACAAGTTGAAGTGGGCAACAACAATGATGGCGAGACTGGGGTTGTGTATGTTGATGGGTTAGCAATGGTATCTGATGACGTGATCGGTGAGTGGCTACGTGTAGTTGTGACTTGTTTATTGTGGAAGGAATCATTTCGAGTGCATAACTGCATAAGCTGGAGAAATTAAAGTAAAATTGTACAGTGCGTGCTTTTGCTCCTCTGATGTTAGTGATGGGAATCGGTTGGAATTTCATCATGAATCGATCATCGGTTGCACCCAACCGATCGATGATCAAAGATAATCGGTTGAACGTTATTGATTGCGGCTACCAGACATGTAAATATGTCATATATCATATATAATACAATATTCTAAAAGCTATGTAACAGTATTATACTTGCTTATGTTTGGTGTAGGTTAGATTTGCTGCCTCAAACACATAAAACTATGTTATGTTTGCAAATTTCATTTAAAATATTTTTTCATTTTTATAATCTATTATTTATTTTCATCATTGAATGCTTAGTCAGTTGCTGCTAACGTCTAAGCAACTGACTATTATTCTATTATAATCGATCATCGGGACATCACTATCTGATGTACGTATCACGACAAAGCACGGTGGTTAAGGATGGTGGCAGGAGGTGTCGAGGTTAAGTTAAACCCTGGACCTTTTCCATATTGCTGCTAGCTACAAAGATTGCACGGCAAGGCTGCATCTACCTGTGGCGCATGAGCGAGACGCTAGAGAGGAGGGAGAGGCAAGTGAAGAGCGTGGCAGTGCGACCGATTGCACAGCTGGAGTGGGCTGACACTGAACAAATCTACATCAGCTGTGCAGGATCAGGTATGCACTGCTGCAGATTTAGGTAGAAGTAGGAAAGAATACACAAAGTCGATGCTCGTGTGCATGTGTGCATACACACATGCAATATCTGACACGTCATAAAGGAATGTCGAACGTCGTTCAGCCATGATGGCAAAAGCGAACGAATTTCAATGCTATCAATCGCTATACTGGTGTAAGTATGGTTTTGCTTCACCCTCTGAAATTCTGGTGGTACCTATCACTGACCGATTGTAAGTATAATTCGTTCATAATTATTACAGGCGTTTAATCCTTACAGAAGCAGGACTGCTGGTGTGTGGTGATAACCAGGGGCAGCTGTGGCTCTACAACACGACACCGTTCCAGCGAACGTCGAAGCTACGTTACGAGGAAGTGCTCTCACCGTCTGCTGTAAGAGAACAGATTGCTCGATGCGCCTCGGCTACACCTACACCTAATCCTAGCACAGTCTCCTGCCTTTCTCTCCTGCTGTAATGGTCATTGCTTTTATTGCTCCTCGTATTCCATCGTTTTGTTGCTATCTGTCGTCATCACTTGCAAATGCTATTTGCTTCTGTGAAGTTAATTGTGTGTGCGGTTGTTATGTGATATGGTTGGATCATCCCCGTGTTTGATGGCTGTTTAACAGGATTTTTAATCTTGCAGATTATTAGTTGGCCACAAGTTCAACTTCAGAAGGGAGAAGATAGCGAGCAGATGGCAGACGTGCTCGAAACAGACGAGGTAGGTTGGAACCGATGGACTGAAGGTGTTGCTCACGTCAGCCAAAAAATGTTCTATTTAAAATTTTAAAAGCTACGATGCTGCCATTGTGTGAATGCCTTTCTAAATACTCATATTCATTTTTGATGTGCAAGCTGTTTTTGGTATGTATATCGACAAAAGCAAGGCAATTTTAAGGAGACCAAATTCATTATTACACTCGGGAGATTGCATAAAATAGAAAATCACCAAACGTGGTTCCCACTAGCATGCATACAACCTGATTGCTTAGATAAGGGCCACCTTTAAAAAATGTTTGTTTCCCTTTACCTACTTCGGCTCTCAGGTACGGAGCTAGGTAGGTAGGGAAAATCTTTTTGTGTTTGACAAGATGCGTGTATGTATATTGTAATTATCCTGTTTGTGGTATGTAGTTGTTTACGACGAAATTAAAATTTTTCTTTTGGCGAAACAAAATAATTTTTTTGTTTTGTTTTATCGACGCCCAAATAAAACTGCTGTCGAGTAGCGCGCACGGCGTTTTTGTTGGCGAGTCGGGTCAGTAAAAGGGGACTAACAAGCAACAATATTTTATCTTAGGCCATAAGCTGTAGTGTGTAGCCAGAGGTGCGCTCTTTCAAACAGCGCGATCATTGGGTCTCAGCGAGTAGAGACGTGTTCAAGCCTGTCTGCATTTACAGATTGTCGTCAACGCTGTTGCCATAGATACGAGCGGTAAGCACATTGTCGCGGGAACCAACAACAATGTCGTCTGCTTGTATGGTGCTGTGAATCCAAGTGCTGGCAATGATCCTTTCTAGTACGTGACAAACATATCTGCAAGACATAGCACATCTGCTAGACATATTTCCAAGCGGAGTCTTTCACGCATCTGTCGTCTGACATAAGATTAATAGCGTTTACGGGTTTTTTATCCATTCGCCAGAACGATTAGCAAGATTTATAGTCATTGAACATTTTAAGTTTTTATGTTTTACCTGAATTGTTCTTCGATGCTTTAGATACATTCGTTTACTTTCCTTTTTAAGTCGTTTGATGGGGTGATTAGACTCGCACAGACTTTGGTGTCACGGGGCTCAATTTAGTTATATATCAGTTATTTGTTTGTAGAAAGTGTTAATATTTTTTAGAAAGCAATAGTTGTGTAGCATGGCATCAAGAAAAGGCGTAAAAACTATTCATTTAGACCGTTTATATCATGCGTGTAATGCATATTTAGTTATATATCAGTTATTTGTTTGTAGAAAGTGTTAATATTGTTTAGAAAGCAATAGTTGTGTAGCATGGCATCAAGAAAAGGCGTAACAACTATTCATTTAGACCGTTCATATCATGCTTGTAATGCATATTTAGTTATTGCCACTTCGGAAGGAAGACCAGGTTGATTTCACTAAAACACTTGGTGCTATGCATTGTTAGTTCATTTTGTATTGTGTTTTTATCACGGAGAACTGTGTTTGAAAGTTCAAGGCGTGCAAACTTCTTCGATGAAGAAATCATGTTTGTCTGTACCTATGTAAGTGTGAAGCATTATTTTCTTAATAAACATGCAATTTAAGCAAAACTGGTATTAATCATGTAGCAATCTGTTCAATCATCTATGGGAGGTGGTACAGGGGGTTGTCTTTCTCCTGCCTCCCTCCCCTCTCCTCCCGCCTCCCTCCCCTCTCCTCCCGCCTCCCTCCCCTCTCCTGCCACCTCCCTCGCCTGTCCTGCTATCTCCCTCCCTCAACACCTCCAGGATCCTATATATTTTGCATTTTCTTTTTTGAATGTCACTTAGTTTCTCTGACAGTTTGCGTAATAAATGTATTAATCCTGTACAATGTATTTTCTCATGCTATGGATTTTTTTTATTTTTCTCCACTTAGTCTACTCTCTCTCTCTTTTTCTCAATCCTCCCGCCCACTGGCCTCACTACTCCCACTCCTTCCCCTCCCCCTTTTCTCCCATCTCCCGCCCCATCCTCTCGTCTCCCGTACCCCCGCCCCCCTGTACCCACCCTCATCTATTCAGAGACCGATCAGATCAACCTGTGACGCAACTAAAACAAGAAAGTCCTCAATAAAATATATACCGAGAGCTTTTAATGGGCATTGTACAGCAATATACAAAACTTCCATGAAAAGTCGGCAATGCTTCCCCTCCCAAAGGTGGGGATATCAAACAAGATGTAGAACTTAGTGCCAGGCATGTGTGCCCTGCTAGCCCCTCCATCCTCACACTAAACAGAGCACATCTTCTGCCCTTGTAACATGGACGTCCGAAGTTTATCGTTTATAGATCAAGAGGGAGAGATGAATTAAATTAAAAATAATTCTGCACATGTACTACATGTGTGCGATATCAGTTATGATGAAGCGGTTTTATGAACAACATTCTGTGGCCTGTATTAAACAGAGAATGCAACAGGTGACTAACTGTGTTAAACACAGAATACACCAGTCAAATACCCTGTTAAATGCAGAATACACCAGTAGACTACTGTATTAAACACAGAATACACCAGGTCATTTACTGTGTTGAGCACAGCATGCACCAGTTAACTTAGTGTTAAACACAGAATACAACAGGTGACTACTGTGACACAATAAACCAAGTCACACCTGCAAAAGACATTCAAGCAAAAGTGACGTCGGCACACTGCCAATAGAATATACCAGGTGCTGCTGCCGTCAAACGTGTTCAAGCCTACGAGAGACTAACACACTGCTGTCAAAATGCACCAGGTGGCGCCTGTATTAAACACTCACGCCTAAGTAACACAAGTCTTACACACTACGAGAGAATACACCATGTGGTTGCCACTGTTAAATGCGCTCAAGCCTACGTAAAACCGCCTTTAACATATACTGCTGACAGCTTTACACCATATGGTGACTTTAACAAACACATCCAAGCCTAAGTAACACCATTGTACACACACTGCCAAAAAATACATCACACCGGGCCTGTGTTAAACATTCACAACTAATTAACACCCTTCAACACTACCAACAGAATAAGCCCGGTGTTGCGCGCGCAACACTGAACTACACACTGTCGACAGTAGGCGGCTCCCCGCGTAGACCAAGAAGAAGTACAGAAGGTAGCGTATGTTTGGCCCAGGGACTGCAAAGCAGCTGCATCGTTTTCAGATGGAGGGGCATACTACATGCTGTTTAATAGTGGTGCCAAGGCAGCAATTTTTTGACAAGACATGGCACATCGTGCACGCGCACTGCTACAATTACAGCAAACCTGTAAAATACATAACGGTGGTCGACAACTTGTAACTTCTCCTCTGCACAGCACAATTGCAATAGCACATTTTAGTTTCTAAAATTTGTTTAAAAATTGATCTGTCATCAGAACTTTCGACGACGAGTTTATACGAGGAATCGGTGAATAGGCGATTGAAATGTGCCCTTAAATCACAAGTGATCAGAAGTGAAAATGTGCTATACAAAATAAGCCAGAGGAAATGCCACCATCCTTGTAGTTACGAGTGCTTGTCTGTAGGTAAATGTGTTGGAGACTGTCCTGCACAGCTCATACGACAAGCAACATTATGACAAAAAAATCACTAAATCTTGCAATGATTCTCCAAACATCCTAAACCAGATTCGGCTAGCAGCGAGCAAATCGACGTCATGCTGACTGACACCCTGAAACGATGTAGCAAAATTATGAGTCACGTACTGCCTCCAGCAACACCTCTAGTACCAATCTGACCCAGCCTGCTCTAATACTCAAATTGGGGCCTGTTGTTTGAAACAAAATTAGTCTTTACGTTAGGCCAAAACAAAATATATGTGTGGTTACCGTTACATGACGAAAAAAAAATAGGGTAGGTAGGTAGAGAAAACATTTTATTTTCTTGAAATATTTTATTTACGAACCATGTCCGAAGGATGTGCGTTGTGCCTTTTGAAGAAGGAACTTAAAAAATTTTAAATTAAAATTTTCTTTTAAAATTTTTAAAACTGAATAAAATGTTTAGGGTCGCTGGGAATAAATAGGGTCGGTCGGGAAACCGTAACCACACCTATATTTTGTTTTGGCCTTACTGACGTTACTCTTAACATTAACTCTTTCTTGTAGACAGGACCTCTATACACTCCATACAAGACAATCGTAACTTTACCCTGCTTTTGTCAACAGCCTACGAGAAAAAAATCAATGTTAATGCTAATGTTAGGGAAATTTTTGTTTCTGAAAACAGGCCCCACGCCAATGGCAGCTTAGTGTTCACCTACCAGCGCTATGCCACGTGTTCGATTCAGTGGCCGGCCTCGCCCTCGCCCTTGCCGCCACTGCCCTCGCTCTCCCGCCGCTTCCTCTCCTCATACGCTCGCTCGTCCCTAGGCTTTGCACTGCCAAATATGCTGGCGTTACGCCCCGCCGCCGGCGCGTTGACGGGCTCCTTCACCGAGCGCGGCGCGAGCTTCAGCTTGGGGCGATTTTCCAGCTCCTCTGTAAACAAGAGCATTGCACGATGTTAGCTCAAGCAGGGGTAGCTCGTATGAATGTTCTAAACACATCAGCAGTGCGGCTACGTAGTTGACATCCAGTAAGTAAATTATCGGGAGCAAATTTATTGAGGGGATACGGTTTCGGGCTGGCCGCACGCTCGTGGCTTCTACGACGGCCGCTTGCGTTGCCGCGGTCACCGTCTCTCGGCATCCGTACGCTCACCTGCTGTCGCCTCCCTCGGTTCGTCGTACGAAGGCGGCGGCCTGGCGCTGTATCCGCCTCGATCATCCCGGCTATTCCATCCTCCCCGTTCGTAGCCGCCGCCGCCGCCGCCGCGCCCCCCGCCCCTATCGTAGCCTCCGCCTCCGCCTCCGCGGCCACCGCCGCCGCGCATCCCTCCGTCATAACGGTCCCGAGGCGGCCCATCATCCCGGTAGCCACGGTTACCACCACCGCGGTCACTACCGCGGTCACTGTATCCTACAACGCAGCGAATTGAAGAAGAAATCAGTCTTTTAAATGTCCTCGCAGATGAGGCCCTGACCCAGCTTCCTGCTCCCAGCGCCACCTACTGCCACCAACAGGAACAAATTGCATTGTAATTGTACAAGCATATAGTCTACAGGACGTCTCAGTCTGTGTTTGTTTGGGTAGAGCACTGATCCAGATCACAAATTGTTGACCCCGCTGGCGAGTTTGATTCGGAGAAGGATCCAATATGGCGGCACGCGGCTCAGCCAATCACCGGTTGTTGCTAGTTACGAACCATCCCACGTGGTCACGACAGTGGACCCGTTGGAGGCGCATTTGCATTTGTTTGGTGGAGATCAGGATCAAGTGACCCAGGAGGATCAGACAGTTTTGTCCCAAACAAACAGGCCCTTAATAACAGAAAAATTATAACAGGGAGGACTATGATCCAGCCTATTATTAGTAGTCTATTAATTACACATGGTTAGCTACGTATTCAGTGTTTCACTGAACGTCAGAACATTGTGAATGAAACACAGAACTGGCCAAGGAAGCATTGGACATAGAGGTCTACCCAGACCTTTAACACATGTCGGGTCTTACATGCCTGTAACAGCTGAAGCTCATTTGCGACCTCCCACAAATCCTCTGACATGCTCTAATTTCCAGCAGCGTTTACTTATGACAATCTCAACACAGTCATGCTCTGTTTGTTACAGAGTGATGTAGACATCTCTGAACAGATCAAGTTCACCTGTGGAATTAGGACCGCTTATTGTAATGTGTAATTGACTCCAATTGGTACAACCCTGTCCCGTGCCCTCCCCCACCCGCCCATAAATGACATGCCTTCTGAAACTCCTGGGGGGAGGGAGAACCCTGAGACATACCTGCACGGAAAGCAACAGCACAGACGGGAGAAGATTAATCCAGATTAAAACGAAAAAGTTTTACAGTGAAATGTCTTTAGTCATCTGCTACTGTGGCAGAATGGTCAGGGGACTTACTTCTGTCACCATAATCACCCTGGTCTCCACCTCTCCCTTGATTACCTCTGTAATCGCCTGCAAATATGCAAGTATGGCCGCCAAGTCTAGATGCCCCTCGTTTTACGTACTAATACTCGAGATCTAAGTACCTATGGAAGGACTTACTTCAATGACTCAAGCACAACTTAGCTATGTCTCTCCGCAAGGTCACACTCAAACACTTTCTTGTTTGCAGCAATAACACACATCAATTGGTGTTTTTTGACACCTACTGCACAAATACCATTCATACACACATAACAACCAGACTATTACAGCAACAAGAACAACGTCAACAACAACCTATTTTATTACAGTCAGCATGGATTTGATGAGCCAGTTGACTGTACACGCAAACCAGAAGCTTTGAAGGATGACCCCAGGTTCTGCCCAGTCACCTTCCAGTTCCATATCACAGACGCAGACCTGCCAACCTGTGATTCATGAAAATAGTAAGGCTTTTCTTTTCTTGCAGCAGGCCGCCATTTTGTTTGTATGTTATGCATGCGCGCAATGAATGATGGGACTAACTCTAGATCACGCGAGAACAACGGGAACGTGTGATCCAATATGGCTGCGCCCACAATCGCCAGATATTTCTCGGCTCACAATGTAAAAAACATTAATTTTCACAAGTCGTAAAAAATCGTAAGTTTTTCAGTTTGATCGTACATTCGTAGAAACATCATGGAATTCGTAAGGAATACGAAAAAATAGTAAAGGTTGGCAGGTCTGCAGACGTTGCAAAACCTAAGCAATTCACTCCCAACGAGCATCCGAAACGCCGCGAACGAGACTACGTGCAAGCGATTTAAGTGCACTCACCTCCTCCTCGGCCGCCTCTGTCCCCGCCGCGTCCTCCGCGCCCGCCGCGATCGAACCCGCCATCTCGCTTCTGGCGGCCACCGGCAATGTCCACTCGAATGTTTTTCTCCTCAAACAGCTGGAAGGCAAACGATAGCCGACACACACGCAGGGGCCATGCTAACGTTGACGAGTGATGTCACTTCGAATTCATCCTTCACACTTGAAAGTATCTGCATGTGCATCTAGTTAGGAGATGCATTATAGCTATCGTTATTGGCCATCATTCATTGAACTCATTCATCGCATTAAAATTTTAAGTTTCATGTTTAATCAATAGGAATATATGGTACATTGCGTGTGATAAAACGTTGCCAATGTATCTCCTTAGGAGGATTCATTGTGGGAAGAGTGCCAAGACTGTCTGTGTGGGGAGGGGGGGGGATTGTACACAAGCACTTGCACGAGAATTATGTTATGAATATATCAAGTGACATATGCACATGTTTCACGGTGAGTGATATAAAGAATTCAAAATAAAGTCACAAGACAATTGATCATGAACACAATGCCACATGGGTGTTAATCCCATAGCCAGCTACCATTCTGCACTGAATCTAAGATATGTCACTGAGAACCACAGCTGTGCCTAGAGAAACTCAGCATGTGATTATCACACTGAATACTTACCGCTGAATCGTAAGTAAGTGCTTCCCGGAGGGATTCAGGGTCATCGAACTCCACGTAGCAAAATCCTGAAATCCATCCCAGATCACAATAATAAACCGACTGCACCGCAAACCTTCCCGTACTTAGTAAAAAATAGCGACCATGTATATATATTAACTATGTCGTTACGTAAATTCAACTTGTTTTGCTCAGTGGACAGCTCGCACTGTCAGTCCATGCTGCAAACGTACCTTTAAATTGGTCGGTCTCTCTGTCACGAACTAACCGAACACTGTGCACCTGCAAGAATTGGCCGCCGTTATGGTAACAGTTACACGCTTCATCACATTCAGGATATATTGATAGGAACAGTGATTTTCCGTTTCAAAAAATTGCCTTTTCCGTTTGGGAAAATCATGAATTCCGTTCCAAAGTAAAGAAAAAATAGAAATTCCGTTTTGCCATAAAGATTGTACACACCAAAAATGCAAAATTCCGTTTACATATATTTGCATGAAAAAAAAGTATTTGGTACAACCTTTGAAACCAGAACCGGCACCGAAACACAGGACTACCAAAAGTCGTAATTGTAAGTCATTTCGCTCTGAAACTTGTCTGAATGTAAACCATATCATTACCAATGCTATTTTTGACTGTTTTTGTGTGATTTTATTGAAATTTCCATGTTGTAATATGTTCAAATTACGTTTCCCGAGTTTTTCCGTTTTAAAACATCTTTTCCGTTTCCAATGGCCGTTTCCGTGTTTTCCGTCCGTTTTCCGCGATCGCGGAAAATCACTGTCCCTATATTGAGCTCTCTCCCTGGCCCTATTTATTGGGAGCTCTACTCACATCAGTATTGTGATAGGACATTCTATTATATGATACAAGGTGAGTCATTGCCACCAAGTTGACAGTTTGGCATGAACCTGTGAGAAACATGCATAAACTGGTCTAGCTTGATAGATCTAGATTAATAGAAAGTGCACGTAAAAGAAAGTGTGTTTATCTTGCTCAGACGGATAGGCTAATTATTGGGTTACATGACATACATTAGCCACAAGGATGCCGTTCATTTAATCAGTACACAAACACAGACTCACGCATGTATACGCACGCACTCTCACGCACGCACTCTCACGCATGCACACAGGTTTTTTATAAGAATGTTCGCAAAACACGGTGCATGTAATGGCGCGAAGCTCACATTTAATCCATGGAAGATCTGATCAAGATCACCCTGTACGATGCCTTGCGGAAGGTTGCCAACGAATGCTGTATACGGAGGCTCCGTCGGGAAAGGTTTACTTTCCTGTCGGCTGCAGGAATATTAATAACAACAGATTTGAAGGCTCTATTGCACATACACTGTTAAAAGACAGAACAAGAGCGAGTCCCTTGCCAACTCACTGGTGAACCATAACACAAATTTTACACACTTTATATGTTTACGATGCCATAGCCAGAAAACTTTCAAATATAGTTTCTTTCTGTAACAAGTGCCGCCGAGCGACTGGGCTCATCTGAGGTCTGTTGCTACGGCTATAAACGTAACATTTCAGGCGTGCGTAGTGACACCTTTGTTAAGCGCAGATATGCAGATACGCAGTTGCGTACACATCATTTCAGCAAACATTTTTTTATTGTAGAAAGAGGTCGAGCGAGAGAAAGCGAGAGAGGGGGACGAGAGAAACTCATCAACACGCATGGTTGACGTTTGGTTATGGTTTATGTTATGGTTTGGTAATGGTTATGAGAGAAACAATTATTTAAAAAAATATTGTAATTGTTATAAAAATTATTTGTTGTTATTAAATTGTTGTAAATAAATCATGTAAATATTTGCATTAATTGAAAAAAATAGTTAAATGGATAAAGATAGAAAAATACAAAAAACAGGAAAATAATTAAAAAACAGATGGGATTCGATCCAACGACCTTTCAGCCGTGACGCCCGTGCTCTACGCGTGCGGCTATTCAAGCTTATTGGGTTTATAGATTATGGATGTGCCATGAATATATGATAACACTGTGACATCAACAAATCCATGTTTAACCTTCCTCTTGAGGGTCAAAAGGTTATCAGACACTTACTCTTTGCACGTCAGTGGAAAGCATATTTCATGGTCCTTTCAATAAAGTGATAAAAATGGTAGGTCAGCGCTGAAACAAAAAAGTTTTCCACTCTGTCCATTAGGCCATGTCGTCAGAAAGTCTGATATCTTACCTTTCCCCCACTGGCCTTTGACCTTTGACCTCCAATTTCGCACTAGTGATGGGTTTCCTGCCCATCACACTATACACCAAATATTAAGAGCATAGGTCGAGCCATTCAGATTTGTGCATGTGAAAAAGTATTCAGCAGTGAAAGGGCTCCTCAAACTCCTCAAAAGATTCCTCAAACTGCGTCAAAATTCCGCCACGAAAATGCCCATAACTCCTTACTGAGGTTGAATTTTGTAATTCTGAAAAGTATCTTTCTAACGACTGTGGCTCAAAATAGTGCTGCCAGGTACGTATCCTGGGTACGGTCCGGTATACCGAAACGGGTACCGGTACCCTGGTACTATCTAATAATAATATGCCGGACCGTACCTCGCCTACTCCACTAACGAGTCTAGGGAGTCGCCTACGCCTACTCACTAACCCTAACCATATCAGATAGTTACCAGGGTACGTTCCGGCAGTACCCAGGGAGACATAGAGTCAGACCCTATGATCAGTATCAGCCAAAATAGAACAATTAAAACCATTGGCTTGGGCATTAAGAAAAAATTAACCTACTATGCCTACCACTCTCCTACAATATATAAAGGCTATATTACGAGCTCCGTGTAATAATCAGAAAACTGGGCGGAAAGCTCCGGGGCGCGGCCCATGCTTCATGCATCGTGGCCCGCGAGTAAAATGTGACACACGGTACCGGTACCTAACGGTTTACGTTCGAGTCAACGAACCCGTAAATGGTACCTCAACTGAGTGCACGTCTCACACCATGCCGTATGAGATATGCGTGACCAGGCAATAAAAATCCGGGGGAGCAAGTATTTGGGTACACGATCGGCGTGTTTTAATTTATACTTTACCTTCCATAACCGCCACCGCGGTCAGAATATCCATCATTTCTGGAACCATAACCGGCCATTTTGTAAAAGACCTAGGGTCTACCTCTACCGTAGCAGTTTGCAAAATTTTTACAATTTTTAAGTTTTGCTTTAACATTTACCACTTTTTGTTATTTTATTTAAAAATAAATTGAATCTTAACATGGTGCAAATTATTTAACGTTTTAGAGTTGTATCACCATAGTGATTATTATATTTGCTAAAAGTCTAGCGTCAAACATGTTTCGGCAGGTTAAACACGAAGAAAGTGTGTTGCGCGCCAAGCTTCTTGCAAGCTTCACGCAAATCTTGCGTATTAAAAAGACTGACGGTGACACGATACTTCATTATTACTTGTATACTTTTGTATTTAATCACAGGGCATTATTTTTACGTTATTTATCTAACTTCTATTACATAACAGTCTTCATTTAAAGCGAGAGTTGGGCTTTGAAGACTAGTATCTTACTCTTAGTCTTACTCTTAGTGAATGTTGTTGTCGATAATTATGTTGATTATCATTGTTGACGGCTGACGCTACTCTAGCTCACAGGTACTTGGAACGTCTCAATAAAAAAAATTAATGGTAAATAAACACGAAATGTACCAAAGTCTTAATGTTTCTCTACTCTATTTCGCCTATAATCACCTGTAAATGCCAGTCAAATGCTCATCTGCAACATGCAAGTACACCGCAAGCCCGCGCTTGGATACAATAATGTAACCCAACAAGGGTAGGGTTACAAAGCGTCCCTATCCTTTTGTGTGGAGGAACGCCTGAGTGAATCACTCATGCGGGTTTGCTGGTGCGTTTTCAGAAACTAGAACTGCCAAACTGGGCTTATTCTCAACACGAACCTTTCTCCGCTATCCCGGAACTTACTATGTATCACAATATTCTGTATTAAACTAATATAACCTGTTATAAAAATTCGAAGTGACGAGCGGCGTATACATAGAGCGCCATTTCTGTTGACCTGTGACGTACGAATTCCTTATGCGCATAGCGATCGGCTAACGCAGCGCCCTCCGATTGGTCGGTGAATCCGCTTTTCAAACCGAAGTACGTCACAGGTCAACATAAATGGCGCTCAATGTATACGCCGCTCGTCACTTCGAATTTTTATAACAGGTTATATTAGTTTAATACAGAATATTGTGATACATAGTAAGTTCCGGGATAGCGGAGAAAGGTTCATGTTGAGAATAAACCGCAGTTTGAAGTTTCTAGGTTCTGGAAAAAGACACCGGCAAACTGCTGAGTTGAACCACACAGGCGTCTCCTCCACGAAAAGGATAGGGAGCGCTTTGTAACCGCTACTCTTGTTGGGTTACATTATTGTATCTAGCCTGCATGTGCACAAAACAACATGAATAAACTATTAAGAGGAGCTGGTAGTAAAGTGTGATCGCACAATATTCGGCAGTCGGACGCCTCAGCCTTCAATTTGCGCAAAGTGTTGTAGGTTGCTTCGAGACTGCTCGTCTTTGTCGTCGGAGACGGTCTCCGGACCGTTTTTCCCTTGGTCGTCCGGTCTCGGTCTCGCCTCGGAGTGCAATGTACTGCGGACCTCGACTCGGACTCGAACCCATCCGGACTCGAGGACTCGGGTCGAGACCGGCTACGGAGCCACTACATACATAGGTTACGTAGATGCCTTGTTTGTCGCACTATTAAATCGGCGCGGGCGCGAGTTCACGCGCCATCCATTCGTCATTAGAACAGCCACGGCCATGAAATAATGTACACAGCGCCGCGTTAATCAATCGTCCTACTGCGGCTGGCAGCAGAGTGAATTATAAGGCAAAAGGTGTAAAAATGATGTCATGAACCATCGTTGCGAGTACCTAGTAGCGTACTACTATATGACCTCTAGCCACTTCGAAGGTGTAGGTACTAGGGTAGTAGGTACTAAGTACTAGCCATCCTCACTTTTGTTCAACTAAGCCGTGTCATTGTCCTGCGTAAAAACACAATGGATCGCGTTCACTATTTGACCAGGTTTCCGATAGAACTCGTGGTCTCTGTGTTTTCGGGCTGACTATACACTTCGATGTCTACGACTGGCACGGTTCGCTTTTTTCCAGATGAATCTCATAAAGCCACAGGTCGGATGATTGGCGCACTAATCTGCGATTCTGACATACAATATAGAAAATGTTCGTAGCGTAAACAATCGCATAATGCACGCAATTTTTATTATTATTGTTATTTTATTTGTCCAACACGTTATTTTCCTAAGTCGACACAAATAGCTGGTCCCAATGTCGACTTATGCAAAGTTTTGTTGGTAGGCTGTTCTATTTTAGCAAAAACGTGACAGATCGCAGGCAGGGGAAAGAAAAAAAAAAAAAAACACCCCCGACCATTTTGAAACAAACACATACATAGAAAGTGAATGGCCTTTTTCGGTGCCTGTGCCCCCCCCTTTTTTTTATCAAACTGGACTCGGACGTCGGGGTGGTGTGGATCGGACTCGTGTGGCCGGCGGACTCGGACCTCGGACTCGGACTCGGGGGTGGCGGGACATCGGACTGCTGACTCGGACTCGGGGGGGGGGGGGGGGTGCGGACTCGGATAAACACTTGTTCCATCTTCATCGACGACTACAGAACGAAAAACACATCCAACAGCTTCCATCTTGTATCCATGTGTACAGAAGTGTTTCACTTTGTTCGAAATTATAACGCTGGCCTTTGTTCATACCTACTCCCGCCAGAGATACTCTCGTGAAATCCTGGCAGGAAATGTTCTCTCCGTGAAAATGTAAAGAGGACGAGATTGTCTGTTTATCACACGAGTAATATGGCGCATTGCATGCGGGATGAGCTGCTGCCGGCTCCGAGCCTCCGCTTCGAGCCCCGCCAAGCCAAGCACAATGCTCGCGGCATGACGTCACGCACCACGACTACAGCGATCGATCGAAAGTAGCGCCGTTAGGGATTTTCGGATGATACGTCCTCTTTACATTTCATGAGAGAACATTTCCTGCAGGATTTCACGAGATATCTGCTGGCGGGAGTAGGTAAGAACAAAGGCCAGAGTTATAATTTGAACAAGTGAACATTTATGTACCATAGATACTAGATGGAGCTGTTGGATGTGTTTCGTCTGTGATCGTGTGAAATGAAGCGAGCGTTCAACGAATTTCGCGATCACACTTTCCAACCTGCTCTCCTATTCATGTTGTTTGAGCACCCAGCACAGGGCAAGCGTGCGGTGTACTTGTGTGTTGCAGATGAGCATTTGACCGGCATTTACAGGTGATTATAGGCGAAATAGAGTAGAGAAACATTAAGACTTTGGTACATTTCGTGTTTATTTACCATTAATATTTTTTATTGAGATGTTCCAAGTGCCTGTGCTCTAGCTCTAGTACTATAGCCCGCGTTCATTAACTACTAACTGCCGCAGGATACACTACTCATGACATGATATACTCAATTACTTTGTAAATTGTAGTGTTTGCACTGTGTACTACTACTACTAATTTGTGCACTAAATGCATATAAAAAGTAGGCTGTAAAAAGTGTCATGATAATTGCCTCAATATGCTGCACTCCTGCAGATTACCAACATGAGGCGATCTGCTGCACCGAGTCAAAAAGGTTCGGCCACGAAGAAGCCCCGCTTTGTTTGCCCGTTTGTGAAGTTGCCCAATGACAATGTAGGAGACCCATCACCAGTATCTGAGAAATCAGCTGCGACTGAACCAGCACCTGGATTAGTGGTAATGACGCTGAACTAAGAGTAATAGTACTAATAAAAAATACCAAGAGCCCATTAACCCCAGAGCGTACAATGCTGAAATAGGAAAACCATGGTGTCATTTCAGCAAAATTAATAAAGTTTACCTACCTTATTTTGATACTTCTCTACCAGAATATTATGCAGGAGCCATAGCTAGCCAATATAAGATCAACCGCTTGTCTCTACGATATGTTCCTATGCCAAGATATAAAGCGATAAAAATCGAGTACTTCTAGGTAATCCTATCACCCAGTAACACGCCTCTCGCGCGTTTAGTGACTGCTAATGTTGCTTCGACAAAGCTCGTATGTTTTCGTCGTTCATTGATAAATGAGATGAATCATATGGATGAATGAACAAAGCGCAAGGGACTTTGGGTAGACACCTACTGCTCCATTTTCTGTTGTCGTTGTTGATCCACGAGCTGAGAGTCTTCTGTACAGCATAGGCTACGGAATGTAGCACTGCACTATTACACGCGCCGGATAGGCAGTTAGTTGGCTGACTGTCATAATGTTGTACACATTCTCCCCCGGTCGAATCCATGTTCACGCACTTGTCACCAACGATGTATGTTGCAACATTATCCAACCATTCAGTAAGAAAGATAGCATATCGCGTAGAACTTTCTATCGTGTTCTTTTCATACAGACTGCAAAATCTATCGCACAAGTCATCTACTAAGTTTTTGCCTGACGTTGATAATTTCATGAAGTCTATACATTTCTTTCTAACTCCATTCAATTCGTGCACTTTTTCAACCGAGTCCCATATAGCCGAATAAAACTCGTCACTGTGGTCCTGCTTCGCTTGTCTTAAACACGTTGTAATATAATTTACTTGCTCCTGCGATAGTGTTGCTGATTTAACATTCCTTTTCCTTCTACTATCTCGTCTCACATTTCCAGTCGCAGCTATGACTCAAACTACAACGTTTACTACAGCTAGCGTAAGGGGCGGGTCATCACCATGGCGACCCGACTCTTACGCTAGGTGTAGTAAACTCTGTAGTAATGACGTAACGAGTCAGCGCTCGAAGCGGCGACCGGAAGCAACATTAGCAGTCACTAAATGCGCGAGAGGCGTGTTACTGTGTGATATGGCGCTAGGATTACCTAGAAGTACTTGATTTTTATCGCTTTATATTTCGGCATAGGAACATCGTAGAGACAAGCGGTTGATCTTATATTGGCTAGCTATGACTCCTGCATAATATTCCGGTAGGGAAGTATCAAAATAAGGTAGGTAAACTTTATTAATTTTGCTGAAACGACACCATGGTTTTCCTATTTCAGCGTTGTACGCGCTGGGGTTAATGGGCTCTTGAAAATACGCACTGCATTTGTAAATTTATTTTATTTTATTTGTTTGAATTTCTTATAATTTGCATTTGTTTAATTAATTCTGGCAATTAATATGTTATTTCAATTTTAATTTTAAGTATTAATTTTATTAATTAGTTAAGAGTATTCAATCAGCAGTAACTATAATCAATTATCCAAGACAAAGGTTAATCCATGCTATTGTTAGCATTGCATGGAAGTGACACGCCTATAGTACATTAGCAATTAACAGTACTGCTGCCTTTTGGAAGTAAAATTAATGCTAAGCATGTTCCCTATCACTGATCCAGGAATTTTAACCATTAACATTGCATGAACATGGTGCACAATCTTCATTCGTGTTCTTTTTAGGCCATTGATAGCAGTAACACATCTACAGTGGCAATACCACATGTCCCTGTCAGTGCAGTAGGAAAGGAGCACTCTACAGAAAATGATTTTGTGTCGCCACAAAATAAAGAAAGATCATCGCCATCTAAAAGTGCCATTCAGTATAAGGAGAATGTGCCATGGTACATATAAATAAATAAATAAATAAGTTGACGTTCTTTCTACAGTTGTACCACAATTAATAGAATAATGTGTAACTACTAACTGGCATCAATTCGAAGTTTGTAAGCTACTGTTCATTGTTATTTGCCTTTTCCTTAGCACGACACAGTCTGCCGATAGGTTAACAGTGCAGTCTAGACTGGCTCCGAAGTTCCGGGCTCCATCGGCTTCCACGGTCTCACAAACGTTGCAACCAGTGGCTCCATCTGTTCAGCAGGCCAGTGGTAAGCCATGTGATGCTTTATTATGTGTCATAAATATCTGCCCATCAGCAGGGCTCAGGAAAAGTGGCATGATACTCATCATGATATATGAATTAATGAAACCAGTCAATATTAGGCAGGCAAAGTTTAAAGTGCAAAGGATACAACAGAAATATTGTCTATCGCATATTCACTAGATATGTAGTATGCATATTATAACACATATATTCTTGCTAATGGTTATTAGGCTGAAGAGCTGACAGCATTTCGTCATGCATGTATTCTTGCCACGCAGATTGCCTTACATATTTGCTAGTGACTATACCATTTCATTCTTGATTTCTTAAACAGATGAGGCACCAGTGAGCCACTACTACAGTGTTGTTTGGTGCAAGCTATCCAAGAAGAAGCACAAGAATTGGGAAGGCGATGCTGTGCTGATTACCAGGGGGCGTAGTGTGACTCTCAAAGATATTGAAGGAAAAGAGTAGGTTAAATAATCATTATAAATATTTGGATTGTCATGGTTGATTGATATATTTCATTAGTTCCTAAATTTGTTCGTGAATGTTGTTATAGCTTTGACCAATCGGTGCATGGAAAATGGTCCTAAATGCTTATAATTTAAAAAGAGTATTTGCTTTATAATTGTTGATATTGTCAACATTTTGCAGGATTGGCAAAGGTACTGGTTACAGGAAGACTGACATGGAAAGCATGCAGGATGGTCACACACTAGTCGTTGGTGGCAAGGAGGTTGAAGTATGTTATCAGGGTTCGAAACGGGCTCGCACACTCGCAAAATGTGAGTGGATTTCCGAAATTGCGAGTAGAAAACATAAGCACTTGCATTTTTGTGCGAGTGACATATAATCTGTTGTGATAACTATCAAAATTCAACATCCCATATCCAGGCATTTTAAAAGTAACAAGTTGTCAACATAAGTCATAACGGAACTAGACCAACTAATTTCTGCAAAATTATAACACGTACTGTCTAGAAACTGAGTAAGGATTATATAAACCTCGCGCGAGCGGCCGCTACCGAGAGTATTCTATCTTTACGCTTTGTAGCCTGGTTTAATAAAGTCGTCTCAACATTATATAACATTTATAAAGTAACTAAAAAGATAATATTTTTAATTAAAGTGTTAATTAAAGTGTTAATTAAAGCATATTATACACTACAAAAATAATTATATTAAAAATGCGAGTGTTTCTGATTTTGCGAGTTGAAATTTGACCCATTCGCAAAAAATTGCGAGTGGTTTCAAAAGTTAAATTCTACCCCTGGTTATTAGGAAGTTACACGTGTTTAGAATTACAGTCACATTCACCAGCAGTGATTCTTGGTTGGATCGGCAAGCAGGCTGTTAGACATGGTTCTTATTTCGTTGATGATTAGTTGAATTGCTTTCTGATGCCAACCTGCTTTTCAATGAGAGTGCTTGAGTAGCCACCTCAAGAAAAAATTAGCTCAATTTTTGCTGTTTCGATTGACATATTGATAGACAGACTATGTTCACAGATATGACCACAGAAAACTATGTGGGTGTAAATTAATGCATATATATGCATGCCTATGTGTGCTGTATTTTATAGGTGATGGGTTGCATCTCAACAGAACATTACATGAGTGGCAAGTGCTTTCAGACAGCATCCACAACAGTGGATAATACTCTGATGTCATCTGCAGCATTGACTGCGCCACCAAAGCCTTTTGTCAGACCCCAAAAAGTTGGTGCAGATGTTACCAATGTCTCAGTGAAGAAGGTGAACCCATTATGGCTTTTCTTAGCCATGTTCCTCTAATTAGTATTCTTTATTAACATTAATGCTTCTGTTTTTGTGATACATACATTATTTTTATGATATATATCAGAAGTAGATAATAGGGAATATTATATACATTTCACTATGATATATTATTACATATAATATAAAATGTATTGTGCATCTATAATGAAGCAGGTTTCGTTTACTTGTTGGTTGCATTTGTACGTCGTGTGAAATCATTATTTGAATGATTGTTGTTTGTCATTGTTTGTTAATTATTGTGCTTGCAATGACTACGTGAGTATGTTGATAGGTGGCATTGTCTGTTAGACCAAGGCATGATCCAACTAGCCCCGGAGCGCTTGTGATGCCAACTCCATCTCGTAAACACCAGGCAAGATTTCGTTCTACGTTTTTGCTGGTTCTGTGTATTGCTATCTTCACTTCACACATTTCGAATGAGCACGCATATCTGCCTCATTGTAATCTTTTTTTCACGAATATCTTTGATGACTTACTTGCCCCTGCAGTTTCGTCTGGGAACTGTAAATGTGCCATGCTTCTGTGTGCTTCACACGTATCTTGGCCACTTGGCATATTTAATGTGTCTTTATCTAAATGTTGCAGAAGGAATATAATAAAAGTGGCCTGCCACTCGTGGACGTGGTTGTTGATCCGTACCTGTCTGTATACTTAAGGCCTCATCAGCGAGAGGGTGTGACCTTCCTCTATGAATGCCTGATGGATATGAGAGACTACATGGGATGCGGCGCCATATTGGCGTGAGTAACACGTACCAATATCACCTCGCAATGCTCTATGCTCTCTCCCTGTCTCTTTTGCTATGTGCATTATAAGTCACTGATCGTACCACGAGTAATTTGTCTATAGTTGGATCTGTATCACCCCATCTTACTTTTGTACATGTTGCTTTTTATCTACAGGGATCACATGGGATTGGGCAAAACTCTGCAGTGCATCTCCGTCATTTGGTAAGCTTGTTTTTGACTCGTACAACCCACTGCTTTGTGTCAGCATATATTAATCCGCTTTCACTAACGATTTACATATGAGCAGGTGGGAGCATGCTTGAGGGGCTGCCACTGTTTCTCAGTATGGCACTGTTTGTTGCAGGACCCTGTACAAGCAAGGTGTGTATGGAGGCAAGCCATCTCTGAAGAGGATTCTCATTGTGACACCTGGTAGCCTAGTACAGGTGTGATGAGTGAATTTGAAATCATTATTATCAATTGATAAATTAGAAAAATGTCCTTTTCCATCGCTGTTGAATGATTTTGACTGATTAGTTTTATAAAAAATAATAATGAAAATATTGGCACGTAGCAATTCATGATATTTTACTTTGATACTCTCATATACTGTGCTATGTAAGTTAAAGTTGTGATTGAAAGTTGACAATTGAAAATTATTATGCATTTAAGAACTGGTGCAATGAATTTAAGAAGTGGCTGGGTAAAGAAAGGATGGCTGTCTTTGCTGTAACATCGGAAGCACGGGTGGATGTAAGCATTCTCAGCATAAATACTCGATTTCTTCTTTAATGAATGATGTGACGTCTGCGACAAAGAAGCGATTGTAATCTGTTTTGCATAACGAGTGCGTTATCATATTTCCGCTCTACTCGCAAGTATTTTCGAAGTTCTAGAACCACCATATTATTAGAATGACTGACGCCGCAGGCGTAATTGCATGCATGTGTGTGGCAGGAGTTTGCGAGGTCGCCCGTCTACCCGGTGATGGTTGTCTCCTACGAGATGCTCATGAAGTGTCACGCGGACGTGAGCGGCGTGAAGTTCGACCTGATCGTCTGCGACGAGGGGCACAGGCTGAAGAATGCTGCCATCAAGACGACGACGGTGAGCAAGAGTTCCTCCGCTCAACCCGACCGACCCGCCCCGTCCCTGAAACTTCGGGCTGCGATGATGACTATGACTTAACGCAGAGAAACAGAACTGTTAAACGAACATAAAATCTTTTATGAGTCGCCTTGTTGCCATTATAAACCTGTTATACGTCCACCATTTGCATCTAACGTATATGTGTCTTGCAACTGCTAATTTGCTACTTATACTAATACTAATTAATACTAATAGTCTAATACTAATTCTAATACTAATGCTAATACTAATACCAATGCTAATTAATACTAATAAGGAATTATTGACTTATATTGCACATGTTAAATGCATATATATGCACATGCGCATTACAAAAAGTATTTATGAGAATGTACTCAACCGCTAAACATAAATAGTATTGACGAATACGATTGTCAAAAATGTATAGGAAAATTATGATTTCGCGTGACCATTGACGGAGCCGCGTTTTTACGTTGCAGCTGATCAATTCGCTGGACATCCGGCGAAGGATAGTGCTGACGGGCACACCCGTGCAGAACGACCTACAGGAATTCTTTGCGCTTGTGGATTTCTGCAATCCGGGCGTGCTTGGTGAGTGACGGACGCGCCGTTTGCTCTCTCGATCTCCCGTCGCTTCTCTCTTTCTTTCTGCTCAATCTCTCTCGAGGTGGGTGGCGCGTCGCGAACCGCCGCCGCGGCTCGTCTGTCCGTCTCTCTCTCCTTCTCCTCTGCCTCTCACTCTCGGCTTTTGCTCTTCGCTCCGTCATTCTCTCGTCTCTCAAGTTCGTCGTCTTTCTCTGCCTCTACCGCGGCTTTGACTGCCGTCGCCGCTCCGGGGTCTCCCTCCGCATCGCGAGCTGCAGTCGGTCGCCCCAGAGCAGCCGAGCAGCACAAGAGTGAGCAGTCGGCGCACGGGCGGTCCACAGCGAATAGCACAGCCCCGGGCGCGCGGCCCCACAGCCGCAGCTGCAGGGACGGGGGGCCCTCCCAAGCGGCGGCTCGGGGCGGGCGGGCCACCTCCTCGTCTCTCTTCTCTCTCCTCGAGCCTCTCTCTCTCTCTCTCTCTCTCTCTCTCTCTCCCGCAGGCAGGATCTCGCAGCCGTCAACGACTATAGTGATATTAGCGAAGTCATCGTCGTTTAAACTTGAGGAATTCGCGTTTGTGGTTGCGGCGTGACATTGACGACGACACAACGGTTTCACGTCTCGTTTGCGATCTCAGTTTCGCATAATGATATAATAATGGGAGGCAGAGAAATGTTTCGGTTGCTGCACTCTGCAACCAAGGCTCCTCTACACTCTGAGTCAGTGTCAACCTCGAACTAGATGTACACCATTGCTGTACACGATTGTACAATTGTACACACAGTAGTAAAGAAATATTTTCTGTTGATGTGCGGTAGCCTACTAAATTTATCACGTTATTTGCTACGCGTGCACGCCGAGTCAATTTTAACATGTTCTTTTCGATTCGGCGACAGTCCCTCAATCTTCTCATTCGTCTTTCTCCGTGGCGCTGTCCGAGAGGCAGCGATCTGACCATTTCTCGACGTGCAGGTTCGAGCGCGACCTTCCGGAGGGTCTACGAGGAGGCGATCGTGAGGTCGCGGCAGCCGGGCGCGAGCGGCGAGGAGCGACACGTCGGGGAGGCGCGGGCCGCCGAGCTGGGCCGCCTCACGGCCGAGTTTGTGATGCGGCGCACCCAGGACGTCAACAACAGATACCTGCCGCCGAGAGGTGAGCGACGCGTGCGGCGTTGTTGATGCTGGGGACGTGAGAACGAAGCCGAGGAAGCTAACGATGGCGACGATGATGATGATGATGATGATGTCCACGAAACAATCGTATGATGATGATGATGATGATGATGATGATGATGATGATGATGAGGATAACGATGATGATGGCCATGAAACAATCGTATGATGATGATGAGAATAACGATGATGATAGCCACGAAACATTCGCATGATGATGATGATGATGATGATGATGACAGTAGGGACGATGGCTTTGATGATGAAGCACATATTTGCATGACATTACCGCTCTTACTCTTGCAGTCGAGATGGTGGTGTTCTGTCAACCATCCACACTCCAACTGTCCATCTATCGGCAGCTGTTACAATCGCGGGCAGTCAAAAGTTGCTTGAAGCAATACGACACAGGTACTGTTAAGTCGCCAGGGCTTCTTTCTCTGCCTCCCTGCTGTATGGCTGCATTGCTCCCCCTCATCTGTTTGCTGCTACCAACGTGTGAAGTGCTCTCTGGCTTCATTTGATACTCTCTTGAGTTCAACGAGAGATAGCACAAATTTTATTATTTCATATGTCGTGTTGTTGATATTAGACCATTCTAACAAGACTTCATGAATCGGGTTGTCTTCATAAAACGTGTGGTCTGCGGTAGTTGTGCTTTTAAAATGTTTTATTTAAACTGTTTGAATTTTTTAAAGCTGTTTGTAACTCTGATTGTAAGCAGAATTTCGGACAATATTAGCTGACTTCATGAACAAATAAGGTTGATCCACGCTCGGATATAACTCGACTATAAAATCGTGACTGATTACAGTTTAAAGATAGTTGACACATTTCAAAGTATTTCTATGTGCTGAAGCATCGATGATTTTTCATTCCTGATTGCTGTAGATGGCAGCTGCCACCTGGTGTGCATATCTGCACTGAAGAAACTATGCAACCACCCGATGCTTGTCCACCAGGCGGCGCTGCAGACCGACGCCGCTGAAGAAAGAGCTGTTGTTACTGAAGGCCTCTACGCGGGTGTCCTTCCCCTCTTCCCGAGTGGGTATGGAGAGGAGGGTCTCTGCACGGAGGATTCGGGGAAGCTTACTGTTCTCAGTGAACTGCTGAGTTCTCTGTATAGACAGACACCGGTGGAGAAGATTGTGGTCGTCTCCAGTTACACACAGGTGGGTGAGCGGCCATCTTAGATTGCGTCAACGGCAGCGAAAATGCTTACATCGAGTTAGACAGTTTCCTGCTTGGTGTGACCCAACACAGCGTGTTGGGCGATAAATGCTTAATGGGTTTCTGTTATAACGAGTGTTCGTTAACATCACTGCGCTTATGAGGAGGAAACCACACAGAACTGGACCAGTGCGATGCTGGGTGACTGCTGTTTGAGCTGTGTATCAACCATAGTCCTGTTTTCAGAATGTAATTAGGCTTAACGTTGACTTTTTAGCTCATCTGACGTAGTCAGATGCAGCTTGTAGAATCGCATGATCGTTCGTGCGTGCGTGCGTGCGTCCATCCGCCCGTGCGTCAACAGTTGGGCACAAATATTAACCGCTCGACGTACGGTGACGATATTCGGGACGTGGGGGGGGGGATTGTGACAAGGACTCGGGATGACCAATTTGGGAGTCAAGGGTCAAAGGTCAAGATGTGTCAACGGAGGGGGAATATTTCCCCCTTAACTTAAGGTATAGGAGGAAATACAGAATTGCGGCACAAATCTGAACGGCTTGACCTATGCTCTTAATATTCGGTGTATAGTGTGATGGGCAGGAAACCCATCACCAGTGCGAAATTGGAGGTCACAGGTCAAAGGGCAGTGGGGAAAGGTCAGATATCAGACATTTTCTGAGGACATGGCCTAACGGACAGTGAAAAACTTTTTTGTTTCAGCACTGACCTACCATTTTTATCTCTTTATTGAAAGGACCATGAAATGTGCTTTCCACTGACGTGCGAAGAGTAAGTGTCTGATAACCTTTTGACCCTCAAGAGGAGGGTTAAACATGGATTTGTTGACTGTTAACAAAGGACTGAACTGCTTTTGCTATTATTAGATCCCATACCTGTGTGGATGTGAGGCTACATTTGCAGTTCAATTGCAAAGACAAAAGTTTGTTGAACAAGGTTTACACTCCTTAAATCATATTATTTTCTAAAGCAGTCTGTAAATTAATAGCACCCTGAATTCTCGTGTGGCTAGCGTCATCCGAAATGTAGGTGATTATGCACACCTGCAATGCAGATGTGTTTAATTTATTACTCACAGCTGAGCGAAATTGTCGCCTGCCTGAATATACTTGGATTTTAGCCTGTAAATTTCAGCAACTCAATGGAATTAGGTTTGTAATCTCTACTTTCTTGACTTATCACCAATGCACGAAGGGCGATGCCATCTTTGATTATTGATTACACTTGCACGCGCCATCTCGCGGCAACTATAGGCCTAGTGATACATTATGACACAAATATATAAGACAGTCGAGCAGGTATGAAGTAGGATGCATTGTTAGGGTTTAGTTTTAGTGTTAATACCTATGCTACACAGTTTTGATGATGACGTTGCCGGTTTAGCGATAGAACAGGCTTTCAACCTTTTACAGAAACAAAGGCCAGTACAGTAGAGCAGCAGACCTCAGATGAGCACTGTCGCTAATGCGGCACTTGTTCTCATAGACCATTGACAGAATTTTGTTTTCTAAAGCTGTGAGGAAATTCGCTAGGAGTTGTTTCATTCTCATAACTCTCTGTTTTCCTGTCAACGGTCTAAGAGAAAAACTTGAATGTCGAGACTAATGTTAAGAATCATTTCGTTTCTGACAATGGGCTCCACGGTGAGGACAAAACAAAATATAGGTGTGGTAACGGTTTCCCGGCCGACCCTATTTATTCCCAGCGAGCCTAAACATTTTAATTGTCAATTTTCTTTAGTCAAAAAAATAAAAAAATAAAAAAATAAATTTAATTTAAATTTTTTTAAGTTCCTGCTTCAAAAGGCACAACGCACATCCTTCGGAAATGGTTCGTAAATAAAATATTTCAAGAAAATAAAATGTTTTCCCTACCTACCTACCTTATTTTTTTTCAGCATGTAACGGTAACCACACATATATTTTGTTTTGGCCTGATTGTGTTTCTCTGTGTTCGTATAGACACTCGACATCCTTCAGGAGTTGTGTGTGCACGAAGGCTACAGGTTCCTACGACTGGATGGAGCGACACCTACAGGCAGGCGGCAGGACCTAGTCGAGCAGTTCAATAGTCGTCACGGGCAGGAATGTAAGAGCGCCCGCAGACACGCTCGCGTGTTGTTCGTAAATCATTCAGTGGTGCCATGCAGTCAGACGTTTGAGTACATGTGGTTTACGAAAGTGGCATGGGATGCGGCGTCTAGCATTATCAAAAGCTGACGTGTTTGTATCTCAAAATATATCTACGAGTATAAGCATTCAGTTGTGTGTCCACACTAGCATTTTGTCTCGCCGAATCAGAAATGATCTTTTATGCTTTCGCTAATGGAAATATTATTCAGTCAGTGGTATCATATTCATTTTCAGACGGCAGTTGTTTTGCTTTTGGTGGAAAAGTTTTTCTTATTACTTTTAGTTGTATTTCTGCTGAGCTGCAAGGCTGGTGGTCAGGGCATAAACCTCATCGGTGCATCTAGAATTGTGCTGTACGACATAGACTGGAACCCCGCCAACGATCTACAGGTACCATGCAGACTGGAACAACATTTATTAACCATGCCACTTGTTGGTATCAATGATGATGACGCATAGGTGATTGCGTGAAGCGGATACGTGATAATCGGCGGCAAATAGCAAGTTCATTGATTAATGAGCGGTCAGTGACTGATCATGAATTCTTGTTCAGGCGATGGCGCGAGTGTGGCGGGACGGTCAGAGAAGGACTGTCCACATCTACAGGCTGTTGACCACGGGCTCAATCGAGGAGAAGGTCTATCAGAGACAGGTCAGCAAGCAGGGACTGAGTGGGGCCGTAGTCGACGCAAAGACTTTAGGCAAAGTTCAGTTCTCTAAAGACGATTTGAAGGTAACTTTAGTGTACTACTATCAACATGAATATATCAAAACAGTCAGTTGTATCGATATGTTCACGTTGCTATCCATTGTGTACTAGTAAATTATACTATCTGAATGTATCTATAGTATACCAGTAGCTATATTATAAAGTATCTAAAACTAGTACTATGAATATTTCAGGTTTAGCAACCATTTTCAGTTAAATGAGAGATTGCTAATGCGACATAGCAAATTTACTAGGTAAAAAATTGAAATAACAATTAGAAACTAGATAGAGTGCACTCACGGAGAGTGCATACCTCCGCCAGCGACATACGCCATACGCCTCACGAACACACGCATAACCCACAATATACGCCAGCGTACTGACATGTATGATGATGTAATGCCGCTCGTTGCTGCTGCTCGCTCACATGTACACGCTCGCTGGCTCGCTGCGCTGGCTGGCTCGCTGGCTGACGCGCTAATATCGATCGCGCGAACACACTAACACACAAACACACGCACACGAGAGCGAAAACATAACCTCCTCCAACTCCGTTGGGCGGAGGTAAAGATGCGCTATCTAGGTCTGTACATGGAACATTCTTGTACGTTTATTTATTAATGCGATGGTGTAACCGCCTTTCATTTCTGCTTATCAGTAAAAAAAGCATTTTGCATGAAGTAACTTGGAAGCCCAACCTTGAATGACCTCGGATCTAACATGATTGTTCTTCCTGCAGGACCTGTTCAAGCTTAGCCAGGGAACTCCCAGCACCACCCATGACCTGCTTGATTGTGAGTGTCATATCGGCCAATCTCGCCCCCCAGTGTCACACCGCAACCTAGCTGCAGGGGTCGCAATAGATCGGATGTCTACCAGTCTGTCCATGGACGAACTGATGGACTGGGAACATCACGCAGCACCGATTAATTACGAGTTGATGCCCGGCAGCCATCTTAAATCGGCTGTGAACACGATAAGCTTTGTATTCAGAAATGTAGCCAACGAGCAGGCAAAACCAGGAACAGTGGCTGAATGACTCTTAACTTCCTATTCTATAGATTTTGTTGTTAAATGCACAATCTACTGTAACATTGTTATGTATAATATATTACTTGTAAATCTTATTATATTGTAAACTTGTAAATCTTATATAATAAATTATGTTCTTACAAAAATATTTTCAGTTATTCTGTAATTATGTGTGCCTTGAATTCATGCTGGATATCACATTTAAATGTGTCCTAGATCGCACCATGAGACTACTCCGAATGAAACTGATTCAAATCAATTTTCAGCGATAAAATACTATATTTCTACAGGAAGCATTGATATTAGACTTGTTCCTGTCTTATTCGTGTGTGTAGATTACTAGGAACCTACCTAACCAATAAGTGGTTCAACATGCCAGTAGGGCAATGCCAAAATTAGGCATAGTTAACCACCCTCCTTTAGGAAGGAAACGCTTATTGCAAACAGTACTACTAGTTGCATTCTGTTCTACAGTGTCAGTTTATATTTTTGTATAACGTCGCTAACATGACGTATTTCACACATTCACCCCATGAACAGTTCATTACAGGTTTGCTACACACTATATATATATATATATGTATGTATGTATATATATATATATATAATATGTATATATGGTGCAACCCACATGATTTGTGCACATTATTTTATAAAAGACTATTCTTTCTGGTTCCGTCAGATTTTAAGTTATCGAACCAAACGCCAATTTGAAAACAAATCAAACTTAGTAATGGAATGGTTTTATGAAATCAATAACCACATGCATATTACACGTTTAGTTACGCAAAAACACATAACCAATTTGTAAATCAAATGAAAAACATTAAAAAAACCACCTTCCTATTACCCCAAAACCATAAAAAAACGAATAAATCACATACCGACACAAAAAATAATGAATTACATTGCATTATTACTGGCATAAGCCTGAGTAAAGCGTGAAATTTGATCACAATTATACAACAGTATATATTGCATGTTAACCGAAGCAACGTGACCAAAATCAATAAATTACACTGCATTAAATTAATGCATATATATAGGCCATTTCTAATATGGAGATCAACAGATTAACATTGTCGTCTGGTCAACTTTCATGATCACTTGGTTCACCAAAAAATATTGTAAAAGTAAAGATCCGATTGATCATATCTTGGTACATAAACACGGTGAGCAGTGGAAGTCACAATGGAAGAACTTTGTTGCTAGGGGTAGCAAAAACGCATGACGTCACGACCAGACATGGATTAAGTAACATTAACAAATAACAATAACTGGTATTTACCAATTGCTATTAAACTTCTATATAAGTATGGGATATGGTAATTGACCCATCCGTCATAGAGAGATAACCATATCGGATATTGTTATCAGGTCGGTGTAGTTGGACCGCTTTTCATACGGCTTACACACCAAATTGTTGACTACGGGGCAGTTCGTTACTAAGCAGAACTTTTAGAATGCCCCATCACAATGCTGATTGGTCAGAGCTACCTGTCAATCACTCCAGGTGGCAAGGTCAATTACGGTTCGTCCCTAGTGAGGGAGTTAATTAATGTTCTTGTGTCTGCTGCAAGCACACAACAACAGGTTCTTGCGTCTGCTAGCATTTAACACAGCGGGTCCTGTCGTTTTATAGCAAACAACGCATCTGTCGGCTGCTAGACACATTCTTTTTTCACCCTGCTAACGAACGACACAATCTGGCAGTGTTCATTGGCAACTACATATCGTTCTTTTGTAGCAAATGCATTTGAGTAAGTACGGAGTATATATATTCACTGCGGGAATGTTACAACTGGGCTTTACAGTGCAAATTTAGCTCAAAATTGATTGCTTGCATCTAAATACCCTGACACTTGCAGGTTATATTATGTACCGTCATAACTACCATACAATAATAACACACATAATCGCCTAGACTTTAATAACAGCAGAGGATACCAACAACTACGTATATAATCCGGGTATCTTCTATTCCTAGAGCGCCCAAAGTAGCTCTTCTTTACAATTATTCAATAAACAAGTAACAGTTTAACAGTCAAGCATTCCTGGCAGGCTTTCTACCGATAACGATGCACGAACATGGACATGCTGTAAAACACAAAATAATTAACAAAATGGTCCTCTCAACTATATTATACAGCATTAACTGTTGTTCTTTGCACTAGGCTGGACTATGCGTGGCCCTCTATGCGGTGCTTCGCTTAGTTTTGCATAGAACTCCAACAACTGACCTAGCACTGCCCAACAGTGCTCTCACAATTACTGGTAATTTACATTGGTATAGGCTGCTAACAACACACATAGTTAAAATAACACATAGTACGTAGAATAACGTGCTAGAATATCATCTCATCTCACCTATCGCAGTTTTTCATCGCAACAATCACAACTGAGATCAAAACTTGTTCGCTGACACAGTGTGGCAGTGTGGCTAGACATACACACACGCACACACACACAAGTATAGGCTAAACACACACGTGGAATTTAACACAGAGATCCTACTACTAGATTTCTACAGGATCGCTCTGTTGAATATCACAAAGTCAATTGCGTCATCTACATATTTATTGCATTCTGACACACACGAGCGCATTTGATCTGTTGGCAGAGCATTTTCGTTGTTTTGTTCATGATGCTGTAGCTGCTGATGCATAACAAGAATTAGTTTGCGCGTGCATGTTATGTGTGCGTGCGCGCGCGCGTGCATGTGTGTGTGTGTGTGTGTGTGTGTGTGTGTGTATGTTATGTGTGTGCGCGTGCGCGCGTGTGTGTGTGTGCATCTGCGTGCGCGCATGCGTACGTGTATACGTTCGTGAGTGCATGTGTATCTCTGCATGCGTGGCTTGGCTACGTTCCTGCGGGAATGATATACATATAATTAAGACACAGCTGGAAAATCGGGACTAGTTATAACACCTGACTGTACACCTACTTTTATGAGTACTGACTGTTAAGTTTGACAGTCTTAATTTAAGCAGTCGTTGGCAGTCGTTTTAAGTTAAGTATAAGTTTGACTGTACACCTGTAATAACATAATGTACAGGTGTACCAGTATAGTCTATCTTTACAATTTGTTCGTTACTAGCTACTAACTAAGGAGATAACGACATGACCCTGTAGTATAAAGTATATAAAGGTACTCCCTATCACCTACAATACTGAGTAACAATAATTGGAAAATGAAAATGTTTCCCATGTGCACAATAAGTTTCCTATTGTAGACAAGTCACAGGTTATATTGGAAAATTAGTCAACAGAGACAAGAACGGGAGAGGCGGAACAGGTTTAAAAATAGAAGTGGTAATGAAGAGAGCAAGTAAAGACGAAAGGCAGAAGCAATGGGAATACAGAGTAAAAAATAGAGTGAGAAAGACAGAGGGAGGGATGAAAGAGAGGCAGATAAAGAAAGAGAATGAGAGAGAGAGAGGGGGGAAGGAGAGGGAACGAGAGAGAGAGAGAGAGAGAGAGAGAGAGAGAGAGAGAGAGAGACAGAAGAGAGAGAGAGAGAGAGAGAGAGAGAGAGAGAGAGAGAGAGAGAGAGAGAGAGAGAGAGAAGAGAGAGAGAGAGAGAGAGAGAGAGAG